ACAGGCGTAAGCCACTGTGCCTGGCCAAAACCTACAGAATTTAAAAAATTTTAGACACATACCACTTACAATTATCTTGTATACCTCCTCACTTTGTGAAATACTGCTATAGCGGAAAACCAAAAGCAACCAGTGACTCATATATGCAAAAACTTGTGTTTATCCGAAATGAACACATTTCTCCTATATCTGACTGGACAGAAAATAAAAACAAATCTATACCTTTAGTCCCAGGAAAAAAATGAAGAACCATCCTGTACTATATTATTTATCCTCTGACTTAGAATAAGGGAAGGAATTTCGTTTCTTTGACATGGTTTTGTTTGCCATAGAAATGGATTTTTATTACACAAATAACACTAATTTTTCACTTACCAAGCTAAAATGTAACAGTTAAGACTAAACGACTTTCTTCCGTCACCTCCCTACTCCCTAGGAGGGTTAATCCAAGGTATGAATTTGGATTCTTCCACACACCTGCCTTTGTATCTGGGCACTGTAGTATCTGTTCAGCATAATGGCCAGCTAATGACTGGGCACAGATTTCCTTAAATGCTGCAAACCAATATCTCTTCCACTCTTGTGTCAAGGGTCTCTGTGTGCTGAAGTACACTTTTAAGTTTATAATACTGATAAACCAAGGCCTTAAAACCAGACAAGAGTGAGAGCCTGGGCCTTGCTGGGCCCTTCCTATGTCCTGCACGAACACATGGTCTTCTGGCTCCCCAGGACTCTGTTAGGAGCTTTTAAAAGCCACCTAGAAACATCTCATTCCCCACAACTTCCTTTTAAGTCTTTAACCAAGCTCTTGCTTGCCCAACTGGCATGGCAGCATAACTGCAGTGTTAAACAGCCACACTGATTATTTTTCCACAAATGCTCTGGGTATTAGGCCTTTCACTTAGGGCAGCTCCCAGTTAGGTTAAATAATGGTAACACCATGCAAACGGGGTCTTTCCCAGGTAGCTGTGAGATGGGTTAAAGAACCACAATGCTTTGGGGGACGAGATGTTTTGAGTAGCTCCAAAACAAGTACGCTCCCCACCAATGGCTACAGGACTGCAAGCTTCCAGGACTACCACGATTGACAGGCTGCTGGTTTTTAGGACTATGGTGGAGCTTTGGAGTGTAGAAATGAAGTACACTGAGTTCAAAAGCCACAAAACCTGCATTCTTAAAGTTTCCAATTGTTGCAAACCTTTGGTTGGTCTCCAGAGTTCTGAAAAAGTTGACTGGCATTTTTTTTGTCTCATGCTTGTTTTTTATGGAGCAGTGAAGTATGGAGGTCCTCACTCCATTGTTCTGGTGACCCTGCCCATGTTGACTAACTGTTGATGGAGCCTCTCCGAAGATACAACATCCATCTCTATGCCAGGAACTTAGTAGAAAATGCGATCGATGCAGAGCAAACGCCCCAATGAACAAGGGCAGACTCTTCATCTCCACTGGTAATCTCCAGATCAGAAGGCTAGAGCTTCCAGGTCTTCCAAATTTCAACAGAACCTGGAATTCCTGCATTTTGTGTAAAATTTCCAAATTTTAAAATATTGACAACTACTTCAATTAAAAAAAAAAAAAAAAACACCACCAAAGTACTGCACGGAAAATGACACACTTGTGGCCAAAGATTACGGGCCAATCAGCAAGTCTGTGGTCACATCACTGTCATGTCATCTTTTTGTTACCAAGTTAGAGTTCAATTCATCAATTGTTTTTGGCTTCTCTTAGGTGCCAGATAATGTGCTATATGCTGCAACGTTAAAGTGAGACTGGCTGCCTCCGCACACATTCCTTTTCCCCAGTTTTTGAGGTTTCTATAGTCTAGCAGAGGTGGGATTTTTTGGTTTTTTTAGTCATCACCCTGAATAAAGGGTATCTGTAGACAGATTTAACTGCTAGTTTCCATTAGCCCAAGGCAAAATATCCTGAGAGGTTTTTTTTAAAAAGCATCAGTCACTCTGTTAAGGGAAATGTGTGTGCATGTATACATACAGAGCAAATGGGGGTAGGGAACAGTTAAGAGAGTGATTGTTTCATTAAATCCTTTTGAGGCATAGGGCCTGAGAACCAACTTTTGACCTGAATAAACTGGAGGCAGAATCCCAGGGATGCTTGTTTCTTGGTTTATTCACTCACATGGGAGAGCATATTCCCTAGCACACGAGTCCCCAGCCCTGGGCCATGGACAGGTACTGCTCCGTGGCCTGTTGGGAGCTGGCTGTAAAGGAGGTAAGCAGTGGGCGAGCAAGCGAAGCTTCATCTGTATATACAGACGCTCCCCATCGCTAGCATCATGACCACCTGAGCTCCATCTCCTGTCAGATCAGTGGTGGCATTAGATTCCCATGGGAGCATGAACCCTATTGTGAACTGCATATGTGAGGGATCTTGGCTGCGTGCTCCTTATGAGAATCCAATGCCTGATGACCTGAGGTGGAGCTGAGGCGGTATTGCTAGTGCTGGGGAGTGGCTGCAAATACAGATGACCATTAGCGGTAGGGTTTGACTGCACAGATCAGAATAAATCAATTGCTTACAGACCCATAGCAAAACCCCAACAGTGAGTGGCAAGTGAGTTGATGTATTTCAATTGTACAGTTGCATCTGGTGGAGGGCTTGAAGTCAGAATCCGACACTTAATATTTCAGTCTGTTTTGGCCCGCCCATTATTTTATTCACCACTTTCATCCATACCTCTTTTTTATGGTGAGTTGTATAATTATCTCACTATACATTACAATGTAATAATAATAGAAATAAAATGCACAATATGTGTTATGTGCTTGAATCATCCCCAAACCATCCACCCCCAGTCAGTGGAAAAATTGTCTTCCACGAAACTAGTCCCTGATGACAAAAAGTTTGGGGACCGCTGTCCTAGCACCTTCCTGGAGGGTACATGGGAGGCAAACATGCTAGATCCTACATTTTTTAAATTGATGTCTTCATGATATCTTACATTCGTCAGAGTGGGCAGGTAAATCGATTTCTTTTAAAATCTTGAAGTAACTACTTCACCAATGTCTACTGCTACTCTTGATTCCCAGTTCTTCTGTGTGACCAGCTTTTCATTTTTGGGAGCTTCTCTTGGTTTACTGTTTTTTAACTAGATGGTATGCCTTGGTAGAACTCCTGTTTTCATCCACTGTGTTGAGCACCCTCATGTCCTTTCATTCCAGAAATGCATGTATTGGATGATTTCATCTTCTCCATTTTCTCTGTCCTTTCTGGTGTTCCTATTAATTGGACTTTGTAAATCTTGGACCATCTTTTTTTTGTTCTATTTTTGGGGTTACTTTCTTCATTTCAGCTTCCAATTCTTGTATAAAATTTTAATTTCCAAGAACATTTTCTTGTTAAGAGTTCCATTTCCATAGCATTCTATTCCTTATTCTATAGATGCCTTGTCTTTTCTCATCTCTCTGGAGATAATGACAGCTTTTTGAAGCTTTTTCTCCCTGTTTCTCTAATTCTTCCAAGTGTTGGTTTTGGGCTTTTCACTCATGTTGGAAGCTTTTATCACATGCCAGGTTGCCCTTGGCTAAGATGGAAGGTTAGCAACTTGACAGGGGATTGTGAAACGGAGAGTTTCACTTTACAGCAGTGGTTCTCAATCTTAGATGCACAGTGGAATTACCTGAGGAGTTTTGAAAAAATATTGATGTTATTGCAATAACTCATTTTATTGGTGTATGGTATGGGAATTTTGAAAAGCTCCCCAGGTAATATTAATATACAGCAAGGCTGGAAAACACCGCCCAAGGGTGTTGCAGCTGAACCATTTCCTTGAAGACTTTGAGACTTTTCTTTTCTGCCCATGAGGCCTTCAGGTAAGACTCTAATATTCTCCTGTATGCCTGTGTTCACTAAGTTTTGATATGGTACCTTCATTCTCAATTGTGGATAGTGTCTCTCAGTCTAGGGAGTTTCCATTTAAACCTTCTCCTGGGGAAAACTTTATATGCTTCTGGCAGGTTAATGGAGGGCCAGCTGTCCAGCTGAAAAAAATGGGAGGGATTTTGTAGATCAAATTTCACTTAAACAGCTTTCAACCAATACTGTTTCAGGCTCCTTTCTCCTTTTGCCATCACTTCAAAGGGATATGCTGCTGTCAGTTTTCGAGCCTTTCAGGTTATTCTGTGTTGAGAATGAAAAAACAGAGCTTTCAAATTAGAGGTTTTTTTTGGGTCAGGTTTCTATAATTTTGATGGTAATACATTTTCTCCCATTCTTCCCAATTTTGAAGGGAGCTATAACTTAAAAAGAAATCCTCTGCTATATTTTTAGTAGTGTCAGGAGCATGCAAAATTTGATGCGTGTTTGTTTAATCTGTCATCTTTATGCAGAAGAGTGACTACCATTCCTGATATAAGAAAATGAGCTTTGAGTTGTAAATCATTTTTTCATACATTCTCCCCCACTCAAGAAATAAAAAAGACAGTAGGAATTCCTAGGAAAACAACCTAACTATCACAATACACCACGGCCACTGCAGGAGCGCTGTGCTTTACTGCTGCTGTTGCTGAATGAGACCTGGAGGAAGGAAGGCGCTCACACCTACAGAATCTGTCAAGGGAAAGAAAGCACCCAGTGTGTGAGGGAACACAGCCAGGACTCACGAAGTTTGGCCCATGGGTAAAACGAGGATAATGGACCTCCACACATTAGGCAAAGAGGCACATCATCCACGCAGACTGATACAGAGCTAAACTGGCAGCCTACTCAGTCCATGGTCACTGTGGTCACTCACAAGGGGAATGAGGGTTTGTAGTATCTTCTGAAACACTGGCACCTGGGGCTGTGGCTGGCAGCCCCGTAAGACCTCAGCTGTTGGAGGTTGAGCTGCAGCTGCCCTTTCAGAGGGCAGAGAGAGCCCCATGCACTATGCAGCCTGCCTGGCCACTAAGAGCACCTGAGTTTTCAACTTCTGGGGATGTGGCTTAAGTTTTTAAAAAGGAACAACAACAAAAGGTATCCTATTCGTGGCAGAAAAGTCCTCCTTAAGTCAGAAAGAATTAAAACATTTATTGGGCATAAATATATTACATATACACTACAGATACAGTTAGGTATTACATATAGCATAGTATTTGCAAAATCTATACATTAAAATTGATATGGCAGTTTTAATACAATGTATATGAAATAGTCTAAAATTTACAATACAGGAAAACATGATCTTTTTCTCTCTTAAAGTTGAAAAGCTTGGAATGTATGTCCAACAGTGAGGTAAAACATTTTGTCTTTCAATTTAAAGATTGTGCAAGGATGACATTCAAACACATTCAATTAGGGCGCTTCTCAATTTTGACATGAATACTGAATTACTGTAGCCAACAAAACAAGGTTAGAAAATGCCAACATTTCAAGTTGATAAGAAACAAGGCAGATAATATGAAAAAAATATTTTAAAAAAGCTTTTTTAAACAATTTCTTTGAGGACACAGGGCAGTTTGCTTCCCACAAAGAATTTCTTGTGCCAGGGATGTTTGTCATACAGAAAAGAGTCAGAGTATCAAAAAGCCACTCACTCACTCTTACACAGAGCAGAAAGCCAAAGAGATCAGGTGAACAGAACACTTTATTTTACTGTTCGTGTGTAATGGTTGTATATATAGTATATATCGATATCACATATACATATTTGTGATAGAAGACAGTGCCATAGAGAGTCATTTTCTGTCTGAAGGGATTACAATGAGTATCAAATAATGGAGAGCAATAAAATAAAGTGCTGGCAGCTTGTATTTCACACACTTCAGCTTCCTGGTGGTCAAACAGATAGTATGAAAATCTCAGAAAGATCAATACTCATAGAAATTTTGGCCTAAAGTACTATATATTATTTTAAAAAATTCAACCAATTCAGAAAATTTCTTTATAGCAGCAGTTCTGAAGTATTTCAAAAAAGAGACTTCTACCCCCCTGAAAAGAGGGTTGTGTACTCAGTTGAATTTTCATTGCTTAAAAAAATACCTTTTCCCCAAAACACCTGCATGAGGTTGTCTCAGGAAATGCAGGTGAAATGTCATAGTGTCAAGAGAGGGGTGAGCTTTCAAAGGCCAGAACTTTGGCGAAAATATATTTACCTTGATGCCATCAGTTTGCGAGGCTAATTAAACTAGTTATTATAGTCAATAATAAAATACAGAACTCTCTAGTACTTACTACGTCAATATAGGCACACAGAATAAGTCACTGATCTTAGCGCTTTCTTTCAAGAGATGATTATGGTTTTCGGGTACATGTAAACGTTTCAATCACTGATAATGGATATTTTTGGCATTTAATGCACTAGATGGTCTTAACTTTTTAAAAACACAAGAAAATGTCAGAAGATTAATACTACAGATGTTGCCAAGGAACAAGACTGACCTAAAATTACAAAAGTATAAAACAAAACAAAAAAAAATAACATGCTACAAGGGAAAATTAGTACATAAGTACATTTAAAAATTTTTACAATAAATAAAGATTGCACTGTAATTGGCATTTAAAGTACTGTATGCAGAATATAGTATAAATAAACCAAAAACAAAATAATGTTGGTTTCCCCATGACTTTGGTATGGGAATATTATAAGCTAGTATAGGATACTGCATCTTAGACAACACAGATCAAGACAAAATATAATCAAGAAAACCAAGTAGCAAAAATATACAAAAACAGAAGCAGGGGGGATACACTGTGTCTGTTGCACCCTTTTGGAATATATTTGCACCTCCAACTCTTAAATGTCCCTGAGGTACTCGAACATTATGGACTTCATATAAATAATCCAATGACTTTGGGTTAAAATTGCTTATCTCATGACTCAAAATTAACATGCAAGAGTAACACTTTGCACTCCAATAGCACCTGTTGATCAAAGATCTCAAAGCACTTACAAACATTAGAATCCCCATTTAATTTATTTTATTTTTCACGCATGGGAAAACTGAGGCACAGAGAGGTAAAGTGACATGTTCAGGTCACGCAGCAAATTAGTGAGAGATCCAGGGAGAGAATCTAGGTTCCTTGACCCCCGAACACCCTGTGCTTTTTGCCAAATCCCATTCCCTCTCCCACAGTGGCCAGGCAAACCAACAGAAATAGGAACTACACATTTCGATGTCTCTCTTTAAGGTTTTATCAGTTTTCATCTGCTGTTACATTAGTATTGTGTGTACTGAATGATGGTATGGAAATTCAATCACTTCATTGATACCTCGAAGAAAAGCCTAAAGGCAAATCTTTCACAAATAATGAGCTGACGCGTAAGAAGACTGCTCACAATTAGTGTAAGTCTTGGACAATGGGCAGAGGCACTATACTATCCCCAGTCCTTGCCATATAATTCTGGTCACGCATAACAGAATATAATAACTCTAGTGATTAGATCAGAAGTAGTTATATACAAAGACAAACAAGTTAAAGCAGCTTTGACAACAGCTGAACAAGAAAACAACTAACTATTGCACAATGCCCTTAAGGTTACTGCTATGAATTGACGTGGCAAAATCTACAATGCTCTATAACTTATAGGTGCGTTTTGGTTATTGCTTATACAGGCAGCTCATAGTGTTAAAATAATAAGAAATACAGGTTCTGAAAACACTGACATTAAAGTACATTTTGCTTTAAATGAGCTAAACACATTAAGTTAACTGAGTGACAGCACGGTTGTTTAGGGCAGTCTCATCTGTGGGAACACATCTTTTGCGCGTCGTTGCTGCATGGTGACCCTCGGACAGCGCGGAACTCCTCGCCCTGCAACCACACACACTGTGATTCGTGTTTATGGATACAGATGATCAAGACAGAAGAAGTGACTGGTGAATATAAATTACTAAATGGTAACAAAAAACCCATAAGGCTTGTGAAAGACATCAGTGAGAACAGAGCAAAGGCAAGTCTGAAAATTTAAAAGAAAACGTAAGAAAGTGAGCTTTTGGTATCTGGTTTGCTTTTCTTCTTCTTCTTTTATTAAAAAAAATCCAGTTTAACCTCTTCCTAGTTTTGCATTTCAAAAAGGTGCACCAAAACACGGACATTTTTTTCCTAGCTAAATCTGTAAAACAAGAGTATATAAATCAAAGAACAAAAGGGCTTAAAAGGGGGAGTATCTGAATAAATGTGTGTATTAAAATGTGTAACATTAAAGTCATACCTCTAGTTCTGTCGGGCCTGCTTACTTCATTAAGAAGTACTGTAATATGAAGGCAAACAAAATAGACAGGGTTGCGAAGCCGAGCACGATGAGGGCTGCGAACTGTTCGTCAGTGGGCATCATGCTCTTCACCTTGGGGTCGTCCAAGCTCCCCACGTCCCCGGCAAGCATGACCTCGCTCCGCTGCAACGCGAAGGCCGCAGAGGGACTGAAGGCTCCGCTGAGCTCCTGAGAGGGGTCTAGACAGCGGCGACACGCACACACGCGGAATCTGTAGTCCGTGTTGGTCTGGAGGCCTGAGATCTGGAATGTGGCTTCTTCTCCCTTGTACACCTTTGAGAAAAGGAAACGTCCTAGGTAGTTAATTCATCGCAACACTGCGGTCTCTAATGGAATCATCGTACAGCATCGATGACCTTGTGAACACTGACTTGTTTTAAATTTAACCCCAAACAACAAACGTTATGTAAAAAGGTATTTCTCACAATTGGCATTTCATCCATAAAAAAGGTATTCTGACACACTTTGAATAAAACATCATATAAAATCTAGTGACTGACTCAGACAGAAGGAGATAAGACACTGACTAGAAATACAGCTGCCATTTTATTTTAGTTTTGAGTTTGGAGTCTTCCTCTGTCACCCAGACTGGAGTGCAGTGGCATGCTCACAGCCACTGCAGCCTCGATCTGCTGGGCTCAGGAGATCCTTCCGCCTCAGCCTTTCAAGTAGCTGGAACTACAGGCATGTGTCACCGTGCCTGGCTATTTTTTTGATTATTGTAGAGATGAGGTCTCGCTAAGTTTCCCAGACTGATCTTGAAGCCAAGGGCTCAGGCAATTCTCTCACCTGGGCTTCCCAAAGTACTGGGATTATAGGTGTGAGCCATCATGCCTGGCTGGTAAATTTTTTTATGTAGCCCCATTTATCACAAATTAACATTTAAACAATTTAGTGGTCTGTCTTGAGTGTTTCATCACTGTATGACAAATCTGCTTTTTTCCATTAAAGATCTGGGATGTTTTCTTCCCATGAACTCTAATATAAACATCAAGTGGCTTACTGTTATTACAGGGACTGGAAAACTACCAGTTTAGACATTATCACACTGAGTTGAAGGCAGCTAACAGGAGTCTTTGAAGAGGGGTGGAGGAAGGAGGTCTCACAAGGTTCTTCTATCAAAGTTATGCTGGATCCTCAAAAGACTTATAAAATAACATAAAAATTTATGGCTTACATCAGAGTCAATGAATCGACATAGGAAAAAAAATAGCTGAAATGAAATCAAATCAATATGAGACAGCTGATGAGTAATTAAAAAAGAAAAGACAATTAACTGAACCCTTTCCGTTTGAGCAGCACTAGGTTAGTACCTGATAAAGTAGAATATAGTAAGTGTACAGTAAGAGTTAGCTATTATTATTACTATTTAGAACTTTAAAGTCTAGCAATAGGCTACCTTAATAAAACTGTTGATTTTGTCAATTATTTTTTTTACATCTAATGAGTTAATCAAATGATTTTTGTCCTTTATTCTGTTAATAAGATGTATCACATTTGTTGATTTGCGTATATTGAACCATCCAGGTACCCCAGGGATAAATCCCACTTGATCATGTGGGTGATCTTTTCAATCTGTTGTTGAATTAGATTTGCTAGTATTTTGCTGCGGACTTTTGCTCCTATGTTAATCAAACATATTGGCCTGTAATTTCCTTTTCTTGTAACGTCATTTTCCTGTCTTTGGTCATCAGGACCTCACAAAAAGTGTCTCAAAGTATTCTTTCTTCTTTGAATTTCTGGAAGATTTTGAGAAGGATTGGTATTTGCTCTTCTTTAAGTATTTGACAGAATTCAGCCATGAACCTGTTTATATTACTTATTCAATCTCCTTGCTCATTGGTCTGTTCAGATTTTTTTTTTTTGAGCCAGAGTCTCACTCTTTTACCTAGGCTGGAGTGCTGTGGCATGCTCATGACCATCACAGCCTTGACCTGCTGGGCTCAGGTGATCCTACTGCCTCAGTCTTCCAAGTAGCTGGAACTACAGGTGGCACCACCATGCCTGGCTAATTTTTCTTGATTTATTGTAGAGATGAGGTCTCAACCAAGTTGCCCAGGTTGGTCTTTAAAACCCTGGGCTGGGGCAATCTTCTCGCCTCAGCCTCCCAAAGTGCTGGGATTATAGGCTTGAGCCACAGTGCCCAGCCCTGTTCAGATTTTCTATTTCTTCAGGATTCAGTCTTGGTCAGTTGTATGTATCTAGGAATTTATCCATCTTCTAGGTTATCCAACTTGTTGCCATATAATTGTTCACGATAGTCTAATGACCCTTTGTATTTCCATGTTATCAGCTGTAATCTTTCATTTCTGATTTTGAATCTTCTTTTTTCTTAGTCTAGCTAAAGGTTTGTTGACTTTACCTTTTAAAAAAAACACAACTTAGTTGCATCTTTTGTACTGTTTTCTAGTCTCTATTTCAATTATTTCTACTGTCATCCTCATTACTTTCATCCTTCTCCTAATTTGGGGCTTAGTTTGTTCTTCTTTTACCTTGAGGTGTGATGTTAGGTTGAGATCTTTCTTCTTTTTTGATGTAGGAACTTATTGCTACAAACTTTGCTCTAAGAACTGTTTTTGCTGTATCTCATATGTCTTAGTATGTTGTGTTTCCATTTTCTTTTGTCTCAAAATATTTTTACATTTCCCTTTTAATTTCTTCAATGACCGGTTGGTTGTTCAGAAGCATGTTTAATTTCTATGTATTTGTGGATTTTCCAAAATTCCACCTGGTATTGATTTCTAGTTTCTTAACATTGTGGTAGAAAAAAGATACTTGATAATTTCAACCTTCTTTAATGTGCTGAGGCTTGCTTTGTGTTCTAACATGTGATCTACCCTGGAGAACGTTCCATCTGTGCTTGGGAAGAATGTGCATTCTGTTGCTGCTGGGCAGAATGCCTGTTGGGTCCATTGGTCTAAAGTCCAATGTTTATTAACTTTCTGTCTGGATGATCTGTCCATTGCTGGAAGTGGGGCACTGAAGTTCTCTACTATTTCTGAACTGCAATCTCTATCCCCTCATATCATTCAATATTTGTTTTATATAAATTTGTTTTATATGTCAAGGTGTTCTGATCTTGGGTGCAAACGTATTTACAATAATTATCTCCTCTCGATGAATTAACCCCGTATTGTATAATGTTTTTTCTTGTCTCTTTTACAGTTTTTGACTTAGTCTATTTTGTCTGATAGAAGGATAGTTACTCCTGTTCTCTTTTGCTTTCTCTATTTGTGTGGCGTATCTTTTTCTACCCCTTTACTTTCATCCTGTGTGTCCTTAAAAGTGAGGGAACTTTCTTGTAAGCAGCCTACAGTGGAGTCTTGTCTTTTTAATCCATTCAGTCACTCTACCTTTTTTGTTGGAGAATTTAATCCAAATAATTTTGTTCAGTAATACAAATTCCCTAGAAAATTAAACTCTGTCTAAAACACTTGCCAGCTACTCAGTTACTGGAAATCTACAAATGTCTTCACATATTTCTAAAACCTGATGTGTAAACTTCCACCAAGAAGCAAAATATTCCATTAGTGAACACAAGTGCAATGGACCCACATTTAGTGTTGGTCAAACTGAAAGACAGCAAAAGGATCTCATGGTTTAGAAAAGGGACCAGACTGCCAATGTTCACCTGATATTTAGCCTTTTTAAGAATTTCCTCACTCATTTTCAAACTTTACAAGTAGACTTTGGATATCTTATTTATTGTACTTTAGTGACTAAACTCTGGAAAACCAATTCTGCTTGCTTCTCATACTTTTCCAGATTTATAATTGCTTTGGCTACTCCCTCTGTAAGATTTTATGCACATTCCTCCTGGCGAGTTACTCCATTTGTAAAAAAATTGTGGCATGTGCCTAAGCAACTACAGTTACAAACAACTAAGAAGGCAACTAAGAAGGCAAGAGCTGTAAGAAAACGGCCTACAGTCTTGAGAGATCATTCCTTCCTCACCACTCCTACTTCCAAGATGAGTCAAATTAATGTTTTAAGATAAGCTTGTTGTCATGGTGACCGTCCCAACCAACACACAGCCAGCTAGCTGTTCAAGAGTTCCGACTACACCACAATGGAACTGCCTCTTGGTAAGCCATTTCCCAACACGTGGGAGGGTTCCGGAAAACAATGGTGTACTTTTGTCTTTACAGACATCCTTTAATTGTGAATGTTCTTTAATTTAGATTTGATTTCTTAAATCTAAAATGCCCAAGCTGTTGTTTTCTGAAACAAGTCTTTTCTTGAGAACAGTTGATGAAGGGAAGGGTCAGTAGACCAGTTTGATAAAGCAGGTCCCTTCGTACTTGCCATCTGGGTTCTGGTTTCCCCACCTTCAGTGTTGCAGTGTACGCTCTATTTGGACACTTGATGGTGGTGACGGTTAATGCCGGAATGTTTATCAAATTGGACAAAAGCTGCCTCTAAGCCTCAGCGACATGGTTTTCTGACATACCTCTTGAAATATTTGTTTACAGTAATCAAAGGATGAAATAGTGTAGTGGTTAAAGTTCTTTTTTTTTTCTCTGTGCAACTTTGGGAACTGGGTCTGATATAACCTGCCGTTGAGCAGTACTGGGCAGACTTTTCTTAAGCACAAGAACTGGAATCAAAATCCCGGGTTTAAGTCCTGGCTCTGTCACTTACCAGGGTTGCGATCCCAGACAAGTGACAGCTTTGAGCCTTAGTTTTCCCATCTTTAACATGAAGGTAGTTCACTACTCTAAGAGCGAGAGATGATCCAATAAGAAAACATATGTGAAAAATGCTTTGGGAAAGAATATACTGGAGAAAAGTATACTTTATTGAACTTAATCCTCTTAATTATACTGTCAGGTGACTACATTACTTCCATTTTAGAGATGAAAAAACTAAAGCCCAAAGAGGTTATTAGTTTCTCTTAGCGAATAAGAGGAGTGGTGAACTCCCCCAGGACTGGTGAACTCAAATACCAATGCTCACCATCAGAATTCCATCTCCTGCATTCCACCTTAGTCCTCATCTAATGACTTGCAGTGTGACATCGGGTCCAGTTCTCTTGGCGGCGTACTCTGTCTTTGCATATAGTCCCACGAACTCCCTGGTGTTTCCATTACAGACCTTCCAGATTCCCCCATGCTGGTTTCCACTGCTCCATACAGAATAGCACTGGCTTTTCTTTATGGTGTTATAGAAAGTAGCTTCCCACTCAGTGTGTACCAAGCAAGGACTTGGGCAGTATTTCTGTGATATGGCTTCTTAATTTCTGCCATCAAACAAACAACGGCCTCGTTGCAGAA